TGTTGACTGTGGATCCAAGTAAAATGAAATCCTTGACAGTGTCAATATTTTCTGCATTTATCATGATGTTGCTTATTGGTCCAGTCGTGAGGATTTTTGTTTTCTTTATGTTGAGGTATAATCCATACTGAAGGCTGTAGTCACTGATCTTCGTCAAAAAGTACTTTAAGTCTTCTTCACTTTCAGAATATGTGCATATGTATGCACACACTGTATATACGTATTTCTATATTTGAAAGGAGCCCTGGTGGCACACTGGTTAAGCCCTCAGCTGCTAATCGAAAGGTCGGCAGTTCAAACCTACCAGCTGCTCCATGGGAGAAAGATGTGGCAGTCTGCTTCTGTAATGATTACAACCTAGGAAACCCTACGGGGCAGTTCTACTCTGTCATACACGGTCACTATGAGTTGGAATTGACTCGATGGCAATGGGTATACGTATTTGAAACAAAAATTTTAAATCAATATTCACCCTTAATTTATTCTAGTTTATTTTTCAAAACTAGTCATGACCCACTATATTGAGTTCATGACCCACTAACCTGAAGTTTGGAAAACAATGCACTAAAGAAACTGCTTACTACCACCATAATGACAGTTTCCAAGTTTAAACAACTTTAAGATATAGACTGTAATTGCTGACTGCTTTAAAATAGAACTTTGAACCTAATGTATCCTGTGGTCCCTAAACAATTTCTGACAGCACAGTAGTTAAGTTTATAAACTTTTGGAATTAGATGTGGCTTCAAATCTTACCTCTTCAAATTACTAGCTGTGTCAGTTTATGGAAGTTACTTAACTTCTCTAAGCCTCAGTTTCCTTATCTGTTAATTGGGATAACACTTCCCTCCCAGAGACACTGTTTAAGAATTTAAGCATCTAAGTATCAAGTACATAGTAAAGTGTGTAGTAGTCAACAAATGGCAGTGATCATGATTACTAGCCATTACCAAAGACTACACAAGGTTCTCAACAATGGTTCTCACTCATGGCTAAGTATTAGAATCCCTTATGGAAGGTTTAAACATTCAGATGCCTGAGCCTCCCTCCATGCTCACTGAATCCCTAAAGATGAGAAGCAGGTGAGATAACACAAAGGGTCGGATTGCCAAATCAGAATTCAACAGGAATTATAGATCTTACCCGTACCAAGTTTACTGATGACTCAAATGATACAAACAGCAGCAAAATATGGGCTAAGCATTCTTCCTTGGAGAGTTCTGAAACCGTCAGGTGCAGGTACCTGTAAAATATCCTTCTCTTCATGCATCAGGATGCACACTGGTCCAGACTGAACATGAAAGGTGTAAGCAGTTTACGAAGTACATTGCCTGAACAGAAGGTACCATTTTGGTTATAGAATATCTCCTTTTTATACACCATTAATTACAGAGCTTATATGATACTTTCCAGCAAGCTGTATTCCATAAATTCATAAACTCCAGGCTTATTTACAATAAACAACCTAGACAGACCTGATCCATTCTGCTAAAAGCATTTCTATACCTAAGGACTCTCCAGCTGGTAGATACCATCATTGTATTTGCCAGGAGGTCAGTCATTAGCATGCTGACAAAGAGCCTGATGCTAACCTAACCATTCGTTCTGAACAGGTGATGATGGTAACTTTTCCTCCCCAAAAAGGTATTCTATTTAAGAAATTAGAGTCCCTGGAGGGTGCAAATGGTTAAGCGCTTAGCTACTAACCTAAAGGTTTAAATCCACTCTGAGGCACCTCGGAAGAAAGGCCAGATGATCTACTTCAAAAAGATCACAGCCATGAAAACCCTACGAAGCACAGTTCTACTGTGAAACACAGTGGGTGGCCATGAGTCAGAATCAGGGCTTCTAACCAGTTATTTTCAGTTCGACCTCCTGCTCAGAATTTGACTTTCCACCTCCAGATATACTGAATCAGAATCTACATTTTAACAAGCTCCCCAGGTGATTCTTGTGTATGGAACCAAAAATAACTGGTTGAAGCCTGGTCAGGATGGATTCGAGGCAACTGGTAGTGGTGGGAACCACTGAACTACACCTTTTCCAGTTCCAATGTAGCATTTCAGAATTCATTTGAATAAAATCCCTTTTGATCAAAGTACAGTCTTAAGCTTTAAATAGCTTAAACTGGTCTTTAAGTAGCTTAAAACTGCACTAAGGTTTTTAGCACTGTTTTATTTCATTTAGGCAGCTCCCGGGTTACGAATGAGATCTGTTCCTAACTGTACCTTTAGATTGAATTTGTAGGTAAGTCAGAACAGGTGCATACTATTTTTATTTAGCCTTACTTTAGTGCAAGAAAAGGTTTAAAGCCTTTTCAATTATTTAAAAGCTGCATGTGCAGCAAGTGAAGGTGATTGTGATGAAGACTTTGTTGCGAGTAGGCGTTGCTTCAGTTGTTTCAAAGAAAGGGCAAATTTACATAACATTAAGGGGCAAGTACAAGCTGTCCATAAGTCCGAAGTTCATAACCCAGGTACTGCCTGTATATTGTTTTTTGGACATGATCAAACAGCAAATGCAGTCTTCCAAGGGTCCACAACTCAGGACTGGTTGATCCATGTTTTCACATGGTGTGCACTCATTTCTCTGACATGGTACGCTGTAGTATGTTCATCCAAATGCAAACAATGTTATTTAATCCATGTTTTTGCAGATACTCCATTGACAGAAGCAGTGACCCTGGGAGATTCTTCTATGTTGACATTACAACAGGTGCCCTAATGACTGCAAGACCCCTTGACCGGGAAGAATTTTCATGGCATAACATCACTGTCCTCGCTATGGAAATGAGTAAGCAACACAATACTCTGGGCTCCATACAGTGACAAAATGTAAATGTTGTTGGAACTGAATATCTCTAAAACTTGTTGGATCAATAATTACATTCTTTAATGAAGGAAACAAAAATCATGGTTTATGCAAGTAAGTGAACGCATTCAGTTCAAATACTTACTGAGCATCTCCTATAGTCCTGTGCTAGAGATAAAAACAAAACATAGAAAAGTAGTAAAATACAGCATCCTTAACCCAAGGAGCTAGACTTTTCTATGAGGAAAAGGGAGGATTCCTGAGAAGTCGAAGAGGCATCAATAAGATTGGTAATGCATAAACAGTGTAACAATATTATTACTGGATGAAAGGAAGCATTTATACCATATCATCCTTACTACACACATATATACACACAGTCATGCAAATGAGAAACTGAGACATTTTACAGTAAAAGGCAGATTTATTAACATAACAAACTTATAAATGAAATGGAAAATTAACAAAAATCAAATTAAATTTAGCTCTAATTTTTTCATAATACCTAGTGATAGTACCAGTACAGGAAATGGTAGACGTACTGACCTCTTGACAGATGAATTACTAGGCTCAGCCATTCAAGAGAGCAATTTGGCAATTTGTATTAAGATTCTCCAAAATATTCATATACTTTTTTTCAATAATTCTGGCAATTTTCTTAAAGAAATAGTTATAGGTACCAACAAAGATTTATATACCAAAATGTTCACTGCACTGTTATTTAAATATGGAGGGGGAAATGGGAATTACCTAAACGTTCAATAACAGAAATTAAGTTATAGTACAGCCATATAACACCATGCTTACAAAGTATATTCAACAACACAGGATAATCTTACCCTAATATATTAAAGTGCTAAATCCAACGTTTTATTTTGCTTACTGCATGTATGTATCTCCACATTTTTTGGACACATATATAATGTTACATATACCATACAATGTTTATCTCTGGTGGTAGGGTTATGGATCATATTTGTTCATTTATGTTTCTCTGGAATTTCCAATGTTCCTTCTATGTTCCTTCTGTTATAATGAGAAAAAAAAAAAACATTTTAATTATGTTGGCACTTTCTGGCAACTAAGCAGAAGTATTTAGGGGAAAATGCAGCATAGATATTTTTGAGAAAGAAAGAAAAAATGAACCAGAAAAACAAGGCATTCTGGGAACTAGTAAAATTATTTACTAAGAACAGTTTATATGTTTTGAAATTTCTATTTTGTCTTCTGGAAGTGGTGACCACACCAGAAAAAGACAGGAGGGGCACTGCCCGGGCTGTGAAACTGTCTTCGTGTGGTAGTGCCAAGCAAAAGACATGTACCAAAAAGACACGTTTCCCCCTGAGTGACTAGGAGTCACTTCTCTGGCCCCAGCCAAAGATAGGGAGGTGGTGTGTGTTGGATCCTGTAATATCCGTTAGTCCCCGAGCAGAAATAAATGTGCAGTGTTATCTGTATTCCAGTGACTAACTTGAAGCCTTCTGAAATATAATTCAAAGAAGAACTGATTATTTCCCAGCAATAAAGACAAGCAGTGCTGCACAGTATAAGCATCAGATTACAAATGGGCTGTCTGAAAGCCCAGAATACAGCCTTTAATTCCAGAACCTGAAGTATGAGCCAAGTGAGAGATTCAAAATCTCTTTTAAGATTCATTTTTTGATGCTTGCCCCTCCTCAAGTCTCACCCTTCCCCTCAGACTCCTGATGTCACACACACTCTCCAACATAGCCTCATCGCTATACCAACTTCTTATGTTCAGGCCACGCTCTGAAAGGGAACATATGCATTTTCTGCTGTGTTACCACTTCTGTGTAAGTCAGCCATTCTTTTAAAGACAACCAGACTCACTGGTAAAAAAATAACCTACTTTCTGCAAAAAGCTGCTCTGCCTGCATTACTGAGCCCTCACTCTGATTTTCCTGGTGCTCTCTTTAGAAAATCCCTCCCAGGTTGGAAGTGTTGCTGTCACAATCAAAGTCTTAGATGTGAACGACAACGCTCCAGAGTTCCCCAGATTCTATGAAGCTTTTGTCTGTGAAAATGCCAAGGCAGGGCAGGTAAGGCATCTGAGGCGGGAACCTTGTTACCCCAACATATGCAAACAAGTGTTACAGATAACCACATTTGCCATCAAAGAAACTTTTACCGTTTACAGAACAGAACTCCGACTTCTGTACCTCACGTTGCAATGGTTTATTTAAGACAACTATTAGGAGCCTAGATTGCACTGTACGGTCTAAACAATGCTTTGATGAAGGCTTGATTCACGTGCTACCCACTTGGTAACTGAATTCTGTAGTACCAACTGTAGCTAACACATGTGCTCTGGGTCCTAGAGTGAGGGCCCATATACACTGGGAGGAGGAGGAAGAGTTTTCTCTTTTCCTGAGTTTAGCATTAATCCCAGAAAACATTTTGCAGTAGGGAACATTTATTTTCTGTATCTTCACACTTCCCTTTCTTAGCTTCTGGCAACAAATGCCTTGTTGAGGAACTGCCTGCCCTACTCTCAGAATGCCATGTTACCTAAAATTACCTACCCTCTTTCTCCTTCTCAATTAAAACACTGATTTCCTTAGTGGGGCTCACATCAGGTAAATTCTGGGAGAAAAGTAATCGGAAGGAACAAATTCCTACTTATTGGAAACAACTTTAGTCCCATAATCTTCACAGTCACATCTGTGTATTTTTTAAAGTATGTGTTTGAACTATGTCCCCAAAATATATGCATTGTAAATCCTAACCCCTATGCCTTGGTTATAATCCCATTCAGGAATGGGTTTTCTTTGTTATGTTAATGAAGCAGTATTAGCGTAGGATGTGTCTTAAATCAACCTCTTCTGAGATATAAAAACAGCAGATTAAGCCAGCAAGGAGGTAAGGAAGCACAGATGCCATGCCACATGAGATCTCCAGGGAACCAAGAAAGAGAAGCTGAAAAGAGACAAGGACCTTCTTCCAGAGCTGCCAGAGAGAGAAAGCCTTCCCCTAGAGCCGGTGTCCTGAATTCAGACTTCTAGCCTCCTAAACTGTGAGAAAATAAATTTCTGTTCGTTAAAGCCAACCACTTGTGGTATTTCTGTTATAGCAGCAATAGATAACTAAGACAGTATGCTTTTAAACCTAAATGAGTATTTAGTTGATAAAACTCCAAGTGGTATAACTGAGAAACATCTGGACCTCCAGAGTGGCCATGTAGTAA